GTTTCTTGATCTTTGGCAATCTCTTTTCTCATTCATCCTGGCCCCAACTTTAATGATTCATCAGGTGTACATTGTAACCAACTTGAGACGGGTGCCTTTGGAGATGGTTTATATTCCCAAGAACCAGTTTGATATAAATTTCTGGAAATGCAGTCAGTAGTAATGGGGAGAGAGAACTTGTAAAATTAAGAAGTTATTATCCCTCTCACAGTAGTAATGGGGAGAGAGAACTTGTAAAATTAAGAAGTTATTATCACAAGTTCTCTCTCAGTGTTCTGTGAGAGGGATAATAACTTCAGTAGAATTCTGCTGAGATTCTGCAATGGAAACTTTAATTAGGATTCCAAGGAGCAATTTTATGTATCTTGTCTTCAGATCAAAATCTTTTGTTTATTAACCATTTAATGCATTTTGGGGGGGAAAATCAATAGAGTGTGCCATAATCAAATTTATGTACTACAAGGACAAAAAGTATCTAAAATCAATAATTTAGTCACAGGAGCTAATTTACAGAGTGCACATCAAATCTTAAAACACAAAATACAATGTGCTTTATTACCAAACAAAGTTGGAGATGCTTTGGCATTCTGTTTTTATTCTTTTTATAGTTTCTAGATATTAGAAACTTACACATTACATACTTTTATGAAGACTCCTATCAAATTACTAAAGTCTCTTTATTAATTTTTCAGGTGAAGAAGCTGGGCATAGTTGCTGTTAGTAAGTATAGAATCAAATATGTTTAAATGTGCAACTGTTTTATTTTTCTCTGTAAAAAGTTAAAGTTGCATTTAATACTATTTTTATATTGAAGGACTTCTACAAAATGTTGTGTAACACAAAGAAATCTTTATAATCTAATTTTAGGGGGTTTTTTAAATTCACAATTCAGACATTTTATGTGACTTAAAGAATTGATTTCTTCTGGTTAATTGCTAGCTTGAGCTTTGCAGCATGTAATGTTCATTAATGATCTCTATATTACACTTTCTCCTTAAAAATATAGCTATTTGAATAGCATGTGAACACATGAATGAGCTATATTACAGCATGTCAATATTGTTGGATCCTAGGACAATCACTGTAATAGCCACACAAATGGAATTTTATAAAACTTCTGTCAAGTTTTTAACATTTGGCCAGATCTTTAAAGGTCTTGATAATATTATAGCTAGTAGATATATTTTTCAGATGGAGGCCAGAGTCCAAAAACAGGATCTGCACATATAAGAGAGCATTTGGAAAATAGGCAGAACAGGCTGGGATTCTGACTAGCCACTAGTCTGGTGTTATTTTTTGATCAGGTGTTCTTTGTTTGTCATTATACTGTGACATAAAGGATGCCCCAGTGTGCCTGTGCTTACTTGATTGAGTTGTATCCCATCCTTAGTCCCCTAATGGAATGGCTTCTGCTAGCCAAGTGGATTCTTCCACACATCACTGACTATGTCCCTCCCACATTGTTCTGAAAAGTTAGGAGACTCTGGAGCTATTCTGGATTATGTAACATTCTATTATATGATCAGAAGTCTACTAGCATAATGTCAAATTAATCTTATGATTACTTCAATAACAATAAATTGTGCAATAATTTAACTATCCTCCTGCATTTATATAACTTTTCTTTTAATTTTGACCACCAGTTCATTCTCTACTGTAGGGTACTTTCTAGTTATTGGTAATGCCAGTCCTTCTGAAAAGTATCACTGCTGCTTTAAAATGATGACGGGGTAAATGGCACTGAAGACAGTGGTGCCTCCAAGTCAATATGCGTTGGATTATACTGTTACCCCACAGACTTTAACAGAACATGTAAATGGGGTGTTCCTTATCCAGATTATTATTAATGCAGCTTTTAGTAATTTGTCTTAATTCTAAGTATAGTTCCATATGCCAGTGTATGTACTCCATAAAAACAGTGTATATAGACTGTAGTATTGAGAAAATCATAATTACATCATAAAGTGTTTCCTGGTAATATGTACTTGAAAACAGATTATTTGCTTTGGTTCTACCGATTCTTTTAGGCAATGCTTTGCCACAAAATATTACATGTTTGGCAGCTGATCGAATGCTGGTCTTTGCATCGTGTGATACTCTTCTGTATGCTTTTGCTCGCAACAAAGAGGTTTGTGCTGTTGTCAAATAAAACAACATTTGTACCTTATACTAAAAGTAATTACCGTAAAACCTCAATTTAGTGGATCCCCATTTTATCAGTTTTTAGATGCAGTGAACAAAATTTGCATCTGGATATTTCACCAAAACAAGGATTGAATCCATTATATCCAAAGTGATCTAGATCTTAAATTTATCTTATTTCTTTCCATTTCTTTCATTTGCAAGCTGATGTAATTATATAAATGATGTCATGTCATTTGCATCTGTGCAAAAGACATAAATTTGGATTCAGTGAACATTCAGGAGTAATGTCTCCCCTAAGTGATCCATTAATTGGAGGGTTTACGATATTTAGGATACAGACGTTGATGACATTTGGATTTAAGTTACTTAATATTTGAAAAAATAAGCTGCGGGACCAAAAAGATACTTCAAAAAGATACTTTAAAGTAAATTCAGCTGAAATCAATAGGATATATCCAAGAAAACATTACTGAGCTCTTGCTGTTAATGCTATAAAATAGGTATTTAAACAACATTTTTATGTCAAAGTTGGCTTTATAGAATATGTTAGTGGAAATAACATTCATATGATTAATTCATTTAAGAATGTTGTTTCCATGTATATTCTTAGTAATATTAGAGCATAAAACTGGGACATTTCATTTGAAAAGAGTGAAGGAAATTACATGAAGTTCAAGAAAAGATTTATTGGCTGCAATTTTGATAAAGCCAAATGTTTGTCAGAATATTTTGTGTGAGAGAAGTAAGGATAGTATGAAGTATAGATGCGTGTGAATGGGATGGGTATGTAACTTTGTCTCTTCCTGCCACTAACAGGAAGATGCCTAGAAGGAAGTATAATGACAGAGCTGAAAAGTTCCTTCACTGTTGTTTATAATATACAAGTAGTCCTCGCTTAATGACCATTTGTTTAGCAACCATTCAAAATTATAGCAGTACTGAAAAAATGTGCCCCCGTGGTCACATGATCAAAATTTGGGCACTTGGCAGCCCGCCTGAACTTACAACTGCAGGAGTGCTGCAAGTCCCCCCACCTGCCTATCTCTCCCCCATCTATGCCCTTTTGGCTGCCCTGGACAGAGGCACTCAGCAACAGCACCGGGACTGGGGCTGAAGTAGAGGCCCGGGGCCTTCAGCAGCGTCAGCCAGCTGCTACCACTGGCACCACCATCCCAGGCCTCTACTTCAGCCACAATGCTGCTGTTGCCACTGAGAAATGCCACCTCAAGCCCCACACTGCAGCCAGCCACCCCAGCACCATTGCACAAAGCCCCAGTTGCCCCCGCTGCCCTTCGCTCCAGAGGCTGTGCTGTGCCCAGCTGACCTTTGCCGTTTTCCTCCCACTGCTGATGAGGCACACTTGGTCTCACCCTGCTGTGTGCGAGGCAGCTGGTGGCTGCGCCAGGCCTTCTTCCCAAGGCTGCTCGCGCCATTCCCCAAGCCTCTCACACCATTCCTTCTCCAAATCACGCCCCTCATTCTTGCAGTCCTTCAGAAACCTTCTAGTCTTCCCCAGGTCTTGCAAGAATGGGAGCACTATTTGGAGAATGGCAGGAGCCCTGTTCTCACAGTGCTTTAGAAGACCTCATTCTCCAAATCACACACCCATTCCTTCTCCAAATAGCATGCCCATTCTCTCAAGACCTGGGGAAGACCAGAAGGTTTTCAAAGGACTGCAAGAATGGGGGGTCCGATTTGGAGAAGGAATGGTGCAAGTGGCCTCAGAAAGAAGGCCTGGCACCAAGCAGCTGCCTCGCATGCAGTAGGGTCAGGCCGGGTGTACCTCGTCAGCAGCAGGAGGAAAACGGTGAAGGTCAGCTGGGCACAGCAGAGCCTGTGGAGCGCATGGTGGTGAAGGCAACTGGGGCTTTGAGCAGTGGTGCTGAGGTGGCTGGCTGCAGCATGAGGCTTGAGGTGGCATTTCTCAGTGGCAGCAGTGGCATTGGGGCTGAAGTAGAGGCCTGGGGGCAGCTAGCTGAGACTGCTGAAGGCCTTGGGCCTCTACTTCAGCCCCAGTGCTGCCTCCAACGAATGCTGCTTTGCGGGGCGGCCAAAAGGGTATAGATGGGAGCGAGATAGGCAGGTGAAGGGAGTTGCAGTGCCCCTGCAGTTGTAAGTGCTGCTGGGGCAGCTGAGGCTTCCTGGGGCATGGCAGCTTTGTGCCGCGCTGCTGGGGCAGCTGAGGTTTCCAGGGGTGGCTGGGGCTTTGCGCTGCACTGCAATGCCCCCCTTACGTGAAGCCTGTGCGTAGCCTCCCAGGGCCTCCCCCATCCCCCCACGGCACCCCCCACTTA